AACCCATTCACCCCGTTTCGAGTGTAATGTATAATATGGAAACTATGTATGCGTATAGTGTTACTATATATTGTAAAAACACGGTGGGTACACGCCTCGCCAAGGTACCTATATGTGTGTACTCCACACGCGAGGCGAACACGCGTTTGTGTAGATTTTCGTAATTTTTATAGATCAAATATAAATTATAATTTCCAGACATTACTTGCATTATAGTTACTTGTTTGAAACATATAGACACCTATGTATAAGGATAGCGAGATTCTGTTAAAGGTAAACACACATTTCCTCAAAAAGTTTATCAACGTTTTTGGAAATATTATTTTTAACATAATTTAAAACCATTGTAGCAAACATTTATATTTATGTTTTTATATATTTTTAATCATCAAATTGTTTTTATTATACTGTAATACCATCGTATTTGAAGCTTAATATGAGCCGAGTATATGACTATACTGGTTTCCGAGGTCCCCAGGTTAGAGATTAGATTAAGTTTGGTGAACCTAACGTAACTCCGCTCATCAACAGTTTAAATAAGTTACTCAATGCTTTTATCTATAATTAATTATCTGGAAACTATATTCCTTTGAAATTCGATTTTAATAATATATGGAATAGAAAAATAGTAGAAACACTGCAAAATATTCTGCTTAGGAATATGAAACGTAAAATATATGCTGTCATTATAAAATGCACAAAACTTAAAAACTGATGTCCATAAAAACCTAATTTGTGTTTGTCAGTCGTATTTTGTAACGAATTAAAATTAATATGTAAAAAAAAATATTTCTAAAAACATCAATGTACTTTTCCGAGAAAACGAATGGTCACCTTTAAAATAATCAATTATTGTATAATGAATACATATTATAATATATTATAATATATACTATTGATGTTTGTATTTTAATTTATAAGCCATTAGGTTTTTTAACATAGTTTTTTTTAAGTATTATAGATTCCTGTTTTCACGTTCAATATTCCATGCAATATTGTTTATAGGGACAAATTAGTAATTCCAGCAGAGCATCACGGCAAACATCATGGTGTTCTTGAATCATTTTTCAAAATTTAAAAAATATAATGAGAAAACAATCGTACTTGCAGCTACTAATATTTACATCTATATATGCGTTTAGTGTGTATGGGTAACGGACATATAATATCGTGTGCGTAGTACAGCCGTGGTACATGTATATAAAAATTCGAAAACCCGTATCGCTGCCACCGTATAACGTGCAATAAAGAATAAGTATATACGATATACTATAATATAATATTATTTTAGGCAATAATTATTTTATTAAATATATAATCATATTACCGCGATACGTGGGTACCTACCTACCTATATAATAATAATAATAATAATACCATATTAGCCAGCACCACTTACACGGCACGCGTATTAAAATTATATTCAAACACGTCTTGCACGTTATTTATGTTTATTTTACTAGCGCATATTAATAAGTGTACAGCGAGAGTGCGTTATCGACTCGAACCAGTGTTGGTATACCCGATACCGATACCTATAATAGCTATAATATTATTATTATGTGTGTGCGCGTGCGATTAACGTGTTTTCCGGTCCGAACAATGTTGAATAGCCCGACGAGGGAAAAAAATGTAATAATGAGCAGCTGATGACTTTATGGCTTACGCTGCGGACCGTGGAGAGGACGTACCTTGGAGAACCGGAACGGCTAGGCGTTATATGGTAGTAGTTCGCGCACGCGCCGTCGAGGCGATATTATTATGGATATTGTTTTCTCGGATAAAAGTCCAAAGGCATCATACTATAGGCACCCACTAGGTAGTTAAAAAGTGTTAAGTTGAGTTAAAGGGTTGTTTTTTCAACTTTTTAAAACTATTATAGTTAGTTAATTTTCTGATTAACTTAAGAATTTATATGAACATAGTCACTTGGTTTTTTGCAGTTGATTTAAAATTAAAAACGCGCATCGGTTTTTGAACATGTTTCTGGATAAAGAATGTTAAGTATAATCGACATATAGGTGCAAAATGCTATTTATGATGTGATCCACGTATATCAAAAAAGTAGATTTACTTTTTTGAAACTGAATTAAGTGAAACTCGAAGAGTTAAATGTACTGTGGAATTAATTTCAATTAAACGACTGCAGTACGAGAATTACACGGTTTAATGTGCGGAATGCGGATATTATTATCTAATCCAAGTGCAAGTGCCTACCATAAACGATTAAACTGCTAAATAAAAAAAAAAAAAATTAAAATATAATTTGTATTTTGTAAACATATTTTAATTCGATATTTGAATACAAAACACGTAAATCCATGGTAAATTGTGATTCCGTAGGCTGTAATCTACAGTGCTTATGCCTTGAACTCGGCAGGCCTAATACGCTTAAAATGTAAACGATACGCTCGTCGCGGTTTTCGGTTTTGAAATATTTCGATTTTTTTTTTTTATTTCGTGTTTTTAGCTCTGCTCTTTCCGACGTTTATCTTTTAATACATTAGCTATATTATGTATGTTTAACGACGGTATAATATACTAATATGTATAATATATTATAATATCGTATTAAACGCATTCACTGCGTCCGAAATCAATTTGTAGATAACTAATTGCGCGCGCGCGGTATAGGTAGGTACTTAAGAGCCAACGTTCTTGCCGTCGAAACTATATAGGTACTATAATATGGCATGAGTAGATAATATTATGTTCGATTTTGTAACAGGTAATTAATGTAAATAAATTAGAAGGATATCGCAATGGCCGGGAAATTTAAAAAAACACGAACAAAAATATATAATATCCCTAATTTGTTCACTATCAATAATATTACTTATGGTACTAATAGTCCATATTATTATCATGTTTATTTATTTGTCTAATATTATTTTGAAGTGTTAAACTATAACGAAATATATGCCATGAAACGCCGTTGTATAAGTACAACAGCGATATACACATAACTTAATAACTACATAAGTATGTCGAGTATATCAGTCTATGGTATTTATGTAAATCAATCTTAAGCGCGTATACCAATATAAAAGTTAACGTACATAATATTATATAATTTTAGCTGCAGTATTATTCATTAATCATTTTCGAAAACATAATATTATAATCGTAAACTTACTGCCGGAAAAAATATGGGTAATAATTCATTGATCATTATTAGAATATAATATTAGAATTCTATACAAAATACCATGCAATCTATTAAACATAATATTAAACTATTATATAATAATATTATGCAAGTTTTTAAAATAAAATTGAACAATGACACGTTTCAAATCAGCCCTCTCCGTACCGTAGATACATATAAAAGTATAAGCAATATATTAAGAAAATTTTAAAAGCACTACAAAGATAATCAGTCATAAATCAACTAAAACTATAACTTAAATATTTATTTAAAAAAAAAAAATCATTCCAAAGGTGGTAAACAAAATACTGATACGAATAACTGGATTAAACCGAACTTAGAAGTAGGTATAGCCGAACAATTTAAAGCATAGCAATAATAATTTACTTAAAGTTTAGCATATTAACTGCTATTATTATTTACTAGAATTTGAAGCTAAACTATTTTTAAAATGCTAAATTCAATGTATTTAAACTAAAACTTTAAAACTAATAATAATTGGTTACTGGGTAGGAATGTAGGATTAGGTACACCTTAAGATATTGTTTTAAAATGCCTTCACTAAAAAAGTTAATAAACAATTTACAATTTATATATTATTATAAATATCAAAGTACGCCATAATCACGTGGGGGAGGTACTCGTAGATTTTACTGTTTACAAAATTAAAACAGAAAAATATTCACACTATATAGACGTTTCTGAATATTATCGAATGCGTAGTATAGTAGTAAAATAAAACGTTTATAAACTTAAACGCTGACTCAGTCATCGCATGAGGTTTTTGTTGCTGTCGTCAAAAATAAAATTATTGAGAGAACATATAATTTTTTTGATTATCTTACTTATAAAAAAAAGCAAAAAATTGATAAAATTGAATTAAAATTTTTAGAAACTATCTACTATTAAAAATAATGCTAAAATCGGAAAATCTAAATGCATACTTTATACCATGACAAAAAAATGTGTATTTAAGTTAAACTAATTTTAAATTATCAAAATAAAGATAAAATGATATCGTTTTAAATATTACATTTTCAACAATAATGAAAGCATTTTTTTTTTCATATAAAAATGTCGGTAATTACCGATCGTATGCAATTTCTGAAATTTCTGATACAGTCCTAGATAATTCGTCTGGATGATGTTCCCTGAAAACAAATTAATAGTTTTTCTACTAACAATTCATTCATATTATATATTATCGTCATTCCAATTTGTGTGAATTTCTTGAAACACGGCCGCATTCATAAATTAATATTAATTTATGGTTCATTCTCTCTATACGTAAAATATGAAGATTTAAATTTATAATAGCTCATACAATACTCTCATAGTAGATACAGTATGCACGTAGATTACTTGTATGATGTATGCACGTGTAAGTAATATTGTAATACCTGCAGCCCCTATTTTACTATTTTAATTTTTAAGTAATAATTACTTCAAAATGTAATTATTTAATTATTTTGTACCGCACGAAAAGTAAACTGAGTACATGTTAGGCAAATAACACACTTTTGTAACACACAAATAAGGCTTGTATCGCAGTAGTGCTGATGTCAAGGACCGAAATGAAATATTTCATCATCCTATTCTATAAATGTTTTTATACAACTCAAAGTAAATTGTTATGACGTGTGCTCAATATAAGTGACGAGATCAGTGATTGAGTCTCGAGAGTTTCTCTTATCTTTATAGTTTATTAATTTACCATCGCACTTATTATAATATTTAATGAAAGCTCGGCGTATTAATTATAGGTACTTATCGTGTAAATGTACGTGTAATTTAATATTACAAGCCTATGCGAGACGTTAGGTATGATAATATTATATTATAATATAATTACCTGAAAAGCTCAACGTACAGCCCGTCTGGGTTACTTCCGCCGTTCGGTTCGATCATTTCCATCTGTGACGGACAACAGTCTTCCTGACCACCGACAGCGACTAGATATTCTTGGCTCTTACGACTAGACAGCCAATGGTGGTCGGCTACCTCTTCTTCTATCGACGTCTCTTCTCCGCCTAACCTGAAAACCGTCAATTACAGCATTTAAAATAACGAGCTGACTGTAGATGAAACCATGTCTAAACATCTATATACAGTCCGTGTGACAATATTGTGTACAACACACAGCATTATAAGTGTATTATTTATTAATGAAACATAGCTAGCCGGTTCTCGCGTATACCTATATATACCTGTAGGTATAGGACGAATAGTGGTTATCCTCGGGCGCGGATTATATATTATATGACGAGGGGGTTACAAAAGTATAAACACGTCGGAGAGAGAAAATAATAACCGAAAAGTTATAACGCACACTGTTTTTTGAATGACTTTATGCAAATGTCTAACGAGCGCGATCACAATTTAAAAACGCTTTACTGTCTCGTAAAAATCCTGAGATTCTCCCGGCGTCGTTTTAGTATAATATTATAATATTGTAGGTACTTATATTATTTTTTGCGGAATGCGCGACTATAATATAATATTATTAATAAGTGGATTGACTATAGGCCAATTTCGACCGTCCGAAATGATCGTTTCATATAGGATTACACATAGGTTACTCGTATCAACATTTTGAAGAAAAAGAAAATACTGGCACGAACAGAAACTAGTCTACCGGTATTATACAAGAGTAAACCTATACCTATATGACGTCCCATACGGGTTATGCAAAGCAGCTTCGTTAAAAGCGGATAAATATAAAACGGTAATAATATTATAATAATATTACCCGGTGATTTACGCGACATCGTTTTTCGGTCTATACCGGCCCGGCTGCTGTGGCTGTAGCTGTACCTATAGTTATCGAGTAAAATATTACGCTACCTATATGAAGACTATAGCCAAATTAAACGCTAATTTAAATAAATGACTATTCATTATGACGTCGCATTAGTTTGATTGTAGTAATGGGGCAGAGATACTTAACGACGACTGCTTTTTTTTACAAATTAAAAATTGTTTACCAGTCTTGATAGTTTTTGTTCAGACTTTTGTTGTTGCTCTGACGATGCGTTTCGTTCAAAAAATCCGTGGGTAATATAGGTTCTGAAGCCGAATTTGCAAGCAAAACGCCAATTAATGTGATAAGCACCTGAAAGAAAATAAAATATAATCATTAATATTAGGCCCGGCAACAGGTGATATTTAAAATATTTGATTTTGGTATAAACTCTGTGACCGTGGTCGGTAGGTATACTGCACGTTTCTGAGTTTATGGAGAGGTTTAACATTATTTAACATATTATAAATACGTTTCTGTACAATAATTATTTATACTTTATAAATGTTGTTATTATTTTGTGTTTGTTCAGTTTAGTTATTTTCTAAACATTTTTAGTTAGAAAAATTAAATACATAAATAATAATAATATAATAGTAAAACGCATACAAAAAATAATACTTTATCTGAACACGAACAGCTCCTATAAGCTTGTATAAAGAATGAGTTTATAGTTCAAAAAAATTTGACATGCCGTATAAATGTAAAACTAATATTGTATAAAAATAAATTTGACCTAGAAAATCATCACCTAGAAAATTATTTTTCCTAACCTCTATCAACACAAGCTTACAGTGTATTTTTAGATTTTTATTTTACCTCGGATATATTATGCAGATATAATCCAGAAAAAACAGTTCATTCTTCATTATAATAATATGGAATCCTTTAAATTATTATTAACCACATGCCATGAGGCTTAAAAAGAGTAAACCTATAAAAAAAATAAAAAAAATAGAGCTATCCGAGTACCAGTGTAAACTTAAATAGGTACTATCGGAATAATGAAGTTGTATAGGATTATAATTATATATTTTATGACGTAAGCCAATAAAATTCCATATTTATGGCTTTTTAACTGCATATCCTTAATTTCCTATCACACCTTTATTTCATAAATGTAAACCATTATTTAAAAACTTTATTAAATATTCAATAAATCAAATGTGTTATCGCGAAAACAAAACGAGTTATTTTATTTACTTTTGTGAGACACGGCCACACGCCCACACGGGGGTAGATATCTATATACAGCGGCGGATTGGCCCACCGGGATACCGGGAAAGTTCCCGGTGGGCCGGTTGTCGTATTATAACTCTGGGCCGATGTATATTTTGGATTAAAAATTATTTTTAAGTATATTGTATTTAATTATAAGATAAGATTGTTATTGTTATAAAAACCTAAACGTGATGTAAACAATTCTACAATAATTTATTCTATAAATAATAGCTGCATGGTTAGTGAACTAAGGTAAAGTGATAAAAATATTATTATCACGTAACATATTCGTGGTAAATGATACAGCTGTTTTGTTGATTACATTCAACATTCATAGACCTTATAGTATCTACTATCTACTGTATATTAAACAGCATGAAGACTATAATATTCTAGGTTACTCTAGAACGCTTTTATAAATTTCTAATGTCTTATTAGTTATTTGTCTAAAAATTTATAAACTGCCTGAATAAAATAAGAAAAGGTGGAGCGCAAAAATTAAGGGAAAAAAACAAAAATTACTTGCGGATTCTGCTAAGTCATGCCAAAATATTCGCTCTATAATGTCTAATCAAAACGTAAAAAATAAAGCAATGGAGGTAAGCAATTTAAAATATTAAGGATTTTACCTATTAGTTATTCTTATGGAGCTTTAGAACAGTTAAAATTAATATCAAGAGATGACCAAGAATTGAAAAATATTGTTTCAAAATTTATTGAAAATACAAATACAAAATTAGAGACTTTGGAAGATACTGAAGACAAAAATTATGATTTATTAATAGAAACTAGTTTACCACAATTAAGAATTCGAAAAAAAAAACAACATTTTGAATCAGTTGAAGATGACCCTATTAGCGATCCATATTTAAAATTCAAAGTAGAAGTGTACAATGTTGTAATGGATGGGGTAGTTAGTAGTATGGAAAAAAGATTTGTATCAAACTCTCAGATTTACACTGATTTATCTTGGCTTTCACCTCAAAACTTTCAGCATATTAATTCTAAACTATCAAACGAAGCTTTTGTCAATCTTGCCTTAAAACTAAAAAAAAATTGATCACGATATTACACATGAAAATCTGAAGTCAGAACTATTAAGTTTTGCTGTTAATTGGAAGTATTTAAAAAAATCAGTATCCTAGTCGTACTAAACAACAATGCAGCCTTATAGTGACAAAGACAATAATGATCATGATGAAATTGAAGATGAAATTTGTTTTAATATTGTTTTATACGTGCACATTGCATGATGCATGAGCACTGATGCAAAAAGTAAAGGTAAGTGAGTGGATATTATATTAAATAAAAATATAATATTTATTATGAAATAAATAAGACAATGACTAAAAAAAAAAATTTTTTAATGGACAATTATTATTTTAGGACGGTGGGCCGATCATACGGTTATTTCCCGGGCCGAAATTTTTAGCCAATCCGCCACTGTCTATATATACACTAAAATATAAACTTCAATTGTCGGAAAGAATCGTGCAACAACCATCTATATTGATGGTTACCCATCAACCTAGTTTACTATAGGTTCGTCTAAAATACCACACACTATTTATTTGTCTATTAAATAAAATACGATAATTTTTTTTGTCGAAAATTAAACATTTGCAACATTTGGAGTTTTTCCAATACACCTACGATGGCTTAACATAATTTTATTAGTAATGTATAATAAATAACCAACTTTTATAATATTTCAATGTCTGGTTACCCCTGCCAATAGGTGCAACTAGGGGGGAGGGTGGCTTGGATGTTTATCCACCCTCTAAATATTTCCATAGCCTATAGCCATAGCAATTTTCGTGTTTGGTACATTAAGCTCCCCCAAAGTCCAAAATGTAAGCTCTAGATGCGCTTATGATGCTCCTGTCACCTTGAAAAGGACTAGGTACCGCGATCTAAAAGACAAAACTAAAGATATACGCGCTGATGATTAATTAGTGACTTCTTTCTCTTTAAATTGGCAGATAATATTATATTATAATATGAAGTCGTTCGCATGGGAAGGACTGGGTGGAAAGCTGACCCTCCTAGGGGGGCTATATGTTGTTATCCGTAAATAGTATATCAATTTCGAATATCTAGGCAATCTTATATCTTGAATCGTGACAGATATAAATAAATAATTTTTAAAAATAAAAATATTTTTTATTAGGTAACTCTTATTTTGAGAATTTTTAAATACATACTTGAAGATCGTATTATAAAATTCTTGAGATTTTGTGTACTAAATAGTGTACTTAAGGAATGTCCCGGCGATGCGAACTTCTGTTTTTCTATTGAAAACACCATATTTTTACCGAAAATTATTTAGTGGATACATTTATTTTAAATTATGATTCAAAATTCGAACAAGTATAAAGTTTTAAGTAGTATTATAAAGGTAATAAAAAAAGGTTTTTAAAAGTATAATAAAATATAATATGTGATATCGGATCTAGTGTTTATGATACTTAAACGTTTTTATAAATTATAAATTTAATATTGATCGATTGATATAAATTACTAAAATTTTCAAATCACTATAATATATTAATATGGTCCCATTACCTTCCAAACCAATTATCATGAATACGACCTATTATATAATATATACTACAGAGTACACAAAGTTAAACAACTCAAAAACTACTAGACTGAATTTTGGTTTTGATACCAAAGTCAACATTATCAGACTAAATAAAAAAATCTCAAGAATTTGATAATAATACTATGGGCTTTAAGTTGAGGTGGCCAATTGCCATATTTTTTTTTACCTAAACCGGGACAAACATTTTTTTTATAATTTTAATAAAAAAAAGTACTATTCTCCCCGATCAACTAGTTTTTAACACACTATTATTTCGTAATTAGAATACCAATCACACTGGCCAGCATTCTACGGCACACGTTTGTAAGGAAAAAACTAAAACTACGACAATACAGATCGAAATAAGTAACCTAACCTTATTTATCCAAACAATATTGTTTTTCAACTACAAATGTTTAGCAAAAGATAACATAAACGATTGAAGTTTGATTCCGGGACAATAGGCTGTTCCGAAACCCCTTATCAGGACGTAAGGCTATAGTAGGAATATTTAAAAATTTCAAAAGTCAGATTTCGAATAACTGAATTATTGAAGAAAAATAAGAGATGAGCATGCTGGGTGGATCACCCAGAATCATATTCAGCTGCGGTTATAAAGGTAATTAATAGGTAGATTAGGTTAGGTATATATACCTGCAATTAACCTGCAATGCATCTATTTATGTATGATATTTGTCAAACTCGCCACGTCGTTTTTCAGACGATCGTTCGTGTTTTATCATTGCGTATATTATATTTGTACAGCGATATTATGTCTGCATATAACTTCAGAAAAAAAAAAGAAACCACACACAATATAGGTAAAATGTTTCTATTTGTACAACTGTCGACGTAGTACGTCGCGTATCGCGGTAGTCGCTTTGTAAAAAAAAAAGAAATCATCACAATCGATCGCGATGTTAACGCACGCAATAAGCGTCGGTAGGCATATTATTATTATTATAATGCGTAATCTTTTATAATCCCAATTTCACAATAACACCCTTCCATTGAGTTGTCATCATTGTCGTAATATACCTAATAACGCTTATTATATGTATATAACTACGTCATTAACACGCGGGTATACGCATCAGTGTGCAGTTATTCGTCTCATACCATTATAATACGTATAATGTCAGCAATTATTTAATATTAAGTTGCGCGAATGATAAATCACCTAACCTAACCTATATATAGAAATATTATATATTTGAATTGAGCCTCGCGAAATATGTACAATAAATTTGATTACGAAAACTGAAAACGAAAAAAAGAAAAAAAAGATCCGTCAAACAAGATGAAATTAAAGGGCATCATTGGAAAATGGGTACGAAATTTCGCGCTTATTCTGATTTACGAGTGGATTTAAAAATTATAATCTCTGGAGTATTATAATACCTACCACATATACCAAATAACTATATAATATAATATATAATTATTATAATCCCTCGCCATAAACCGTGGCGTAGTGAATATTCGAGAGCGCGTGTGGCAGCTGAGC